CCTAGGCACGTCGACACATCGGCATTCCACTTGTACGAGGGCCGCAATTCTAAAAGTTGATTGGTTCACTGATGCGTATGTCGAAGTGATAACTTTCTGGAAGCAGCTGATTGATCCTTTGAAGTAAACGAGCCGTTCTTGCGTAAAAACTAATATTGATTGACAAAAGTATTTGTCAAACTTACGTGTCGCTTAAATATCGACCTTGTGATGGACTGGGGTTGCTCAGCCGACACAGCAGCTGAATCAAAACCGAGTGGTCCTGAGGTTCGAGACTCGGTCGGGTCACTCGCCAATTCTTCCCTCCGAGATTGATAAACGAGTACCAATGTGGGAAGAAAACAGAAGACTATGCACTACGTTTGTCACATACGTGGTTTCAACTCTGCGTTTAAAAGATAACGTACTCCTGGCTGATGGTATGAACTGGATCAGAACCCCGTTTATTAACTTAATGAAAAGAACTACGTCAGAAATAATCTAATCATCATTAAAAAAGTCAGGTAACTAACTATATTTTTTTCAATTATTGAGAGAAAAAAGTCTAAGCAATGGAGTTACAGCCATCGCACGCTTTACACTGGTTTTAATGAATCATCGCAAGAAGAGGCGTCAAGTAACGTAGGCTTAGGTACTTAGACCACTATGCAATGCACTTCACCGCTGAAGAGCTACTTGTTTCGAAGAAAAACGCAATCCCACCGGCGACGGGGAAAACTGGAAATCTACGATTCGAAAAAACTGTGATTCTGGAGGCAAGCAACAGAAACTGCTACAGCAGTATGCTTGACTACGTGACAGTAGACTAACATGATCTCTCAGAATTATTAATCTAAAGATGTTCGTTTACTGAAAGAAGTAACTATGTAAGAAGAAGTAAGAAGTAACTAAATATGTTACTTGCTGCCACGATGAGTTCATCTTAACTATAACTTATCACTTCAGGTGCAATAATACCAAGGAACCATCACCATCAGCTGCCATCATGCATATAATTGGCATTTGTAGAGAAGAGAGAAAGCACCAAACGGCACCAGCGTCCTCTACGAACAAGCATACCATTTCAAAACGCCGACAAAACCGATAGGTTGTAATTATGCTTATTATCAAGCGAGGAAACTCAGTTGTGCAAACACTATAACGAATCTACCTTTCTTTCACCGGTCAACGAGTGAAATACAAGATCTATGTCAGCTTTCCAGTATCCTCAACAGAAAACTTAGCCCAATATCTAACTGATGACATTATATCAGTAAATTCTTAGTTGTAAGGGATGATTCGTCGGTTTCGATTGAAAAGTATCTATGATTCATTCTGACTTCCTATTAATCTTTTATGTTTCAAAGGATAGCTGTGTCAAGATTTTAAGACGATCCTGTCCTCCGGAAGTCAGGCAATGTTTTTGGGCTAAACTAGCAGAGACAACAATGACAGATGTACACTATTCTTCACTTGTATTAAATTACTAGATTACAAATTACTCATATACAGAGCTATAGACCATTACCATCTTTTTGGCTCCAACTATATTTCATGTACACTCTTCAAACTGAATATACCGTCTTTACTGTTCAAACTACTTACGCTTAAAATGCAATGACCATAACAGTGAAGGCCTTTATCTGCACGGAAATCTTACTGTGCTCAAGATTCGAGTAATATACTGGCAAGAGTTATTCACTGGTGATCTTTGAAAACAGCTGGAAAAAAGCTCTACATTCCAACCTTAT